TACCACGACAGGCGCACTATAGAGCCTTCTAGCCCACAACATGCTTATTTACCTTAAACAGGGTTATTCACTAAAGTCAACATTTCCATGAATTCCTGGGGAGTTTCAAATTAAAGGCCAAAATAGCCCAACTAGAAAAAAGTATCTAAGTCAGCTATACTTTAAAGTCAGCTACTTTGGCCTTAAAGTTGAAATCCATTCTGAAGTCCTGAAGTTGCTTGTTCACACTAGCTAGGTTCTAATGTCAGAATCGGGCAGATTCTCCAGCCCATTAGCAGATACACATACACAAGAAATGCTTATGAAGCAGATTTAGTACTAGTTATATAGTGTTCACCCACACATAACCCAATTTCCAGCATGGTTTATATAAACAACTAATTTACGTTTGTTTATCAGATAGTGTGAAATTTTGAGTTTCGTAGCAATAGAAGAGGTGTGCAAGAGTGTGACAAATGATCAGCTTATTAATTAAAGATGCAGTTATGATTTAACTTAAAGGGACACTATAGTCACCAACACAACTTTAGCTTAATAAAGCAGTTTTTGTGTATAGATCATGCCTCTTGATGTGGATATCAATCAATAAATTGATTATCTTGTGTATCTGCCCTGGGCCAAATTAAAGAAATAGTGCGTGTACGCTCCTGATTAATTCACACCAGACACAAGTTTCAGGTTAATGAAAAACTTGAGGAATCTTTATTCAGGGAGGACGACATGTCCCTTTTAAAGCAAAATTACATCATAAGCATTGTCAGAGATAACATGAAATAATATATCAATAATTGGTTAAGTGTTAAGTGGTTCATTTAATGCTCTGCCTACTGAGGGTGATGTCACTGGCATCGTGGAGGTCTCCCCCAGATTCCTGCGCCATCTTGCTAATGAGAGTGTTAGTCGATGTTAAAAGGGAAACTCCCTAGCGGCCATTTTAGATAATCACACAGAAAGTTGAATAATGCTGATTGTAGTTATGTTGAGTAAATAGACATTTTACTAATATAGATTGGGTTAATATTTCTGTCCACAACAGTCCCCCCTTAAAATGGCTATTTACGAAAGTAAGAAAAGACAGCCAACTACCAGCTGACCCTAATAATGTCCCTAATTTGGCTGTAGCTCATCTGTCTTAACAGGCCTCGAACACTTCACTGCGTAGGTATCCCGCAGCGGCTAACCCACTACATCTCCTGTGTCAGACTCCTGCCCGTAGAGACAGACGATATCCCTATACTGTCCCTATGAGGTGGTAGTAGTTGTCTGTTTGACATGATGGGACTGTAGTGGTGTGTGTGGAGTGTCACAGCCTAGATCAGTAGCATCTTGGTGTATATAAATGGGTGTGGTGCGGTCAATAGTCTGGTCTACGTTCTTTTGTAAATACCTTTGCACACATGGGACTACACAACAAGTTAGGAAGAGGAAGAAGATCATTACGGTAAGAACTGCCATCCCTATTTGGAAAAGAGTCCTTTGCCATCCACTCATCCATCCAAACCATCTATCCCAAGAGTTGGGAGCCCCTGAATTCTTCTTTAATTCATCAGAGAGATTTTCTAATTTCTCTATGGCCATAGTTACTTTACCATTGGGGCCGGTATTGTCTGGGATAAAAGTACAACACGTCATCGTCTCAGGGAGTATTTTACATACGTCCCCCTTTTCGGCCAAAATCATGTCTAAGGCTATCCTATTTTGGAATGTCATGTGGGAGGTAGCCTGTAACTGTTCAGCTAAGCCCTGCAGGGCATCTCGATTGTAGTTGACAAAGCGTTGTTGGTTGTAGTAGATGTAATTAATCCAGTTGACATTTTTATCAGCAGTGATAAGTGGGACCAAGGATTTGAATCCTGCTGCCATTTCATCTCTGGCCTTGAACTCTTTACTCTGCTACCTAGCATCCAGTAGCATCTATATATACGTGTGGGTCAAAACTACCTTGTATAGGACTGTCTCTTTTCACTCTAAGATGTGTATATGAGGAATCATATGGACCTTGGTGGTTATCAGGGAAAATGTGAATGGGCATGATAACTTTAGTTAGAGTACATTCTCCCCACCATAACCCAGCCATTTTTGGTCTGAGTTGCATGTCTCCACATAACCAATAAATATCCCCCACAGACTTAATCTGATTTACCAATAATGATGTGAGTGGATTCCGGTAAGTTGTACAGTAACCAGAAGGAAATTTGCCTACAAATCTACCTGTGGCTCTGTGTATTGTATAGCAAGTGTAATTACCTGGGTACACGGTGACTCCATCCGGTGGTCTGGTGTTCCCTTGAGTAATTGGGTAAGCCTTTTCCATGACTCACATGCTGATGAATTTACAATTGTTTGTACATAGAGGCTTAAGAAACATGTTTCAACATCGGGGGGTATATTTAGGGGTACTGTACCTAAGTGGGGCCACAAACATAACAGTTGGTTTTATTATGAGAGTTAGCATTGTACCTCATCCATTCAAGCCATAGATTAGTATCTGAAAAACCAGTCTCCATAGCCATAGTGTCTTCAAATGTGGGATTGGCAATAGCCACCATGTCCTTGAGAGTCTTGATGTGCAGTTTCAGGGGATTTACTATCATGTGTGTTGACCCTACCCAGTCAGGTGATGTAAGCATGTCTTGCAAATAAAATGTTCCCAACTTGTTGTACGAGCCACCCCCTTTCCAATACATTCCCATTACGTATTCTCCGGCATCACCTGGGTTGGGGTATTCTATGTTTAAGGTCAATTTTATTGGAGTAGACCCTGTTGGTTTACACAAAGTCATTCGGTATAACAAAGATTTCCTGTGTCTGTCAACTCGGTCTAAGGCAGTCTGTGGTCTGTAACCCCATGGTCGGCCTGTGTTTCAACCCGCTGCTTTCCATTAACTACAGTGATGTCCCCAATGACCACCCGTCACACAAATGTACAGCTCCTTCTTGTTTGGTATGTTTTTGTATATTGCTGAGTGTTGTGATTGTGGAAATGTACAAATATCACAGTAGTCAAAAGTAAATGTAGCCACATGTGTGTTGGAAGAGTTGTACCAAAATGTGTAAACATGATTGTCTTTGGTAATAGCGACTTGTTGGGCCTCCAAAAGGCCTAGCAGCAAACATATATATAAAAGGCTCATGTTGGTGTGGGATCCGCTTCCTCTGGGTCAGGAACCTTCTTACAGTGTGAAGCGTGTATCCAAGTGTTCTTCCCAGCCAACTTTACAGAGGTAGCTGTAATTAATAGTACTTGGTATGGACCATCGAACCTTGGCTCAAGAGTATGTTTTCTTAGGAATTTCTTGACCATAACCCAATCACCGGGTAGTAACTTGTGCGTGCCTGTGTTGGATTCTGGATCTAGAATAGAAGAAAACACCTGTGCATGGATTTTGGTCAAGGCATGAGAGAGTGCAGTTATATAATCTACCATTGCGTCTGACAGAAGTTGAAATTGTTGTGGAAAATAACAACCTCACCTGGGTGCTGTCCCAAACAAAATCTCGTAGGGGGATAGATTAAACTTCCCCCTTGGGGTATACCTTACACTAAAGAGTGCTATGGGAAGACTCTCCGGCCAGGGCAAGTTAGTTTCCTGTGACATTTTTAGCATCCTGGCTTTCAGAGTGCCATTCATGCGTTCTACCTTACCACTACTCTGTGGGTGATAGGGTGTGTGGAAAGCAAGGGTCACCCCCAGTGCAGCCCAGATTTCTCTGGTCAGTAATGCGGTGAAAGATGTACCTTGATCACTTTCAATTACTTCAGGGACTCCATATCTGCAGATAATTTCGGTGAGTAGGTGTTTAGCGGTAGTCTTTGCGGTAAGGTTGGCAACTGGGAAAGCTTCTGGCCACCCTGAAAACATGTCCACTATGACCAGTGCATACTCGTAACGGCCGCTCTTTGGCATTTGGATATGATCAATTTGGATCCTTTGGCAGGGATATTGTGGTTTGGCCAAATGATTCGGTGCAGCTTTGATTATTTTACCTGGGTTGCATTTAGCACAGATAGTACATGACCGGCAGTAGTTCCGAGTTAGGGTAGTGATCCCAGGTGCTTCGAAATATTTATCAATCAAGGAGTTCATAAGTTGTTTTAACAAATGTGCTGGTCCATGAGCCCATTGGACAACAGCCGGGTACATATTCTTGGGTAGACAGACAGGTTGATGGTATATATATAATTCTGGATAATTGCTCCTTTGTCCTTCCAGCTTTGTTTTTCCTGTGGGATAGCAGCGGCCTGTTGCTCTCTTAGGAATCTGAAATCAGTGGGTAGGGTTTGTATAGTGTAAATAGGGGTCTTCTCATCGGACACTCTTCTGTCCACTTCCCACTTCTGACGTGCTGCATCTTTAGCTGCTTGGTCGGCCAGATGGTTAACATGGGCTTCTTCTGAATTTAATTTCCCATGGGCCTTGACTTTTAGAATAGCTACTTCTTCTGGCAGTAATAAGGCGTCCATTAATTTGTTAATAGTCGAGCCATGTTTTACAGGAGTACCTGCTGCTGTAAGGAATCCTCTAGTCTTCCAGATTAAGCCAAAGTCATGCTCACTCCTAAGGCATACCTGGAGTCTGTGTAAATGTTGACACGCTTTCCTTCTGATATTCTGCATGCCACTGTAAGAGCTATCAGCTCGGCTTCTTGGGCTGATTTGGAGGAAGGAAGTGAGGATGCTTGGAGTATTTGGTCTTCCGTGGTGACTGCATACCCGGTATGATAATGACCCTGTTCGTCTGCAAATCTGGAACCATCCACAAACAGTCTACAATCTGTGCGTCATCTGGATGCTTTCATTAATTCCTCTTTTGCATGGAAGTAATGGAGGTGTGCGAGTATGTCCCTGGGTGCTTCCTCCGGGAGGAATTTGGGTTTTGCCACCCTGTGAGCTCTGTCTATGAGCAAGACATCTGCTGGCAATTCAGGGGTTAGCAGTTTGAAGAATTCGGTTATATAAGTGGTGATATCCTGTTTTACTGTTTCAGGGATTCCCCTTAGACGAATATTCTGATGTTTGGATCTGTCCTCCAGATCCATAAGTTTGTTTTGACATATTTCCAGGGTCTGTTCTAATTGCTGTATGTGGTCCGCCATGTCATTATGCGCCTCCGCATACTCTCCCATGCGTTGTTCCATGCGGCCCGTCCTGTCTCCAAGCTCCTGCACATCTTTCCTCAAGTCTGTAATTGATTGGTTGAGGTTCCTTAGTATTTGCCTGGAGAACTCTGCAGCTGTAATGTATCGTCGCCATCTTGGTCTTATTAGCTCTGGGGTTTCGGCGTCTGGTTTCTGGCTGCAAAGAAGCCGGTTTTGTCAGGTTTGTCATGAGACCTTTTCCCCTTTTGTTGAGCCATGTTTGGGGCCGTTTGTTGTGGGTTTTGCTGGTCACTGTCGCTGATTATATTGCTATTAAGGCCAGTTCAGAAAGGAGCTTTCCTCACATGCGTCCATTCTCGCCGAGCGTTAGGCCACGCCCCCTACTTTCCTTTTTTTTTTATTTACATTTTTATATCTATTTTTATTTATATTCATTTTTCATTTTTTCTTTTATTCATTTATTTTTTATGAAGTTATACACTTTTGTAGACTGCTTTCATGTTTCATACTGTATGTTTGAAAATACACAATTGTTGGGTTAATGTCTGGACAAATATCCCCAAATGGATTACACCTAGACACCATAATAATTAGTTTTTTCAATGTGGCTATTTATATTTATAATATATAGCATCTTAGTGAGTTTGTTCCATAGGGGGAAACATGCCCTTGATATTCACCCTAACGGGATTATAACTTTTTTAATTTGCCTGTCAGTACTGATTAAATCTTCTTTTTCAAGCTTACAGAGAATGAGAATCCATCCCATAAATCGAAGGTGGAACGCATATCTATTACTAAGCGGAATGCACACGTCATCAACTAACGCCCAGAGAAATAGGCGCACCGGAAGTGACGTCATAAAATCCGAGACACAAATTAAAGTCGGGAAAACTAAGAAATTTTTACGAAAATTAATTGCCATTAGCTGTAATCCATTCAGACCATCCAATTGTAGATTATGCTAGCTTTAGTGTACCTATAATCTTAATTTTATTAATGACAGGAGGCGAGTATTTGCTTAAGTCTCTCTTTACTAGAACTCCACAGCAGCACAGAAAACAACCAATCAGAAAAAAGTTAGGTATTATAAAACTCCCTTCCCATTGCATCATTTCCTCTTTCAAGCTGCGACAAAACAAAACAAAGGCAGAAAAAATAATGGGAAGAAACGAAGTCCTAGATACAATGAATACAGCAATGTCCAACATGCGAGAAGAACTGCCAAACCGGATAGCGTTGATGGACTGTGAAATAAATAAGTCAATGTCCACCTTCCGAGAATAATTGCCACACCAGATAGCGTTGATGGACTGTAAACTGAAACGAGAGAAAAACAGAATCGAACAGGTTGATTATCCAATGAAATGTACTCTGAATAAACTTGTAGGTACCCAATGTAGCAACCAAAATTACCTTAATATGTAGATATCCCAACCCTACTTATGAAAAACAAACATAAGGACAGGTGACAGGTTGCAGAGACAACAAGCAGAGTTGTATACGTACCTGATTACTCCAACTATTAAAATTAAACAAGGGAGGGATAAGAAAAGGTGGGAAATACTCGCCTCCTGTCATTAATAAAATTAAGATTATAGGTACACTAAGGCTAGCATAATCTACAATTTTATAACATGACAGGAGGCTTCGTATTTGCTGTTTTAACGCTCAGCCAACAAATCCAATGCTGCTTGTTTGGCTGGTACCTATTCCGGGATATATTAGAGCAATCTTAAATAGACCTTCCAACTGCGAGAAGTGACAGTAGGTGGATAGATGAGAATGCCAACTGACAAGGCACCCCAAAAATACGGAAAAAACACCCTCCACTGGTTGATCCAGTGTACTGTTTCTTAGTAGCCGGTCCATGAGCTGCCAAGCTGATCTATCAGTAATTTCCTGTAGGTGTAAAATGCCGAAGGTCATTTGCGAACTTTAGGGCCGCAAAAGGAAAACTGCTAACAGGTCTCGACTCTTGAAGTGGAAGATGGCTCCTCCAATCGTGCCAGGGCACCTGGTGATGTGGTCTTGCAGGTCAATCTCACATCTCAAGTAACGCGTGAAGTCTACCACCAATTCCGCAATAGAACCGAGTAGGGTCTTTCGTTCACTCATGAACTACTCGGTGAGTTGTCTCCTCTGAGAGTGAATTTATATGCAGGCAAGAGTGCGGTCAAAAATAGCTGTATCCTTAGTGATTCCAGCATTCCAAATGTACTGTGTGACCCGCGACTGCGGTAGTGAAAGAAACTCCCAGAGGACGTCCAATCAGAACTGAACTTGTGAAGTAAAACGGTGTTCGACTACCTTGGGGATTGTGAACCCTGGAATATCCAAAAGGAGGAGAACGCAACCAGGGTTGAGATTTCCATCCAGCTATATCATATCGAAGAGTGATAAGACGTCCGGATCCAATGGTAATTGGGACCTGTATAACGAAAAGAGTCCTCACGTACTGTAATGAGAGAGTGAAATAAACCGATACAATCCTGATCCATGCCTGACCTGTCAAAATACGTGTATGGAACGCCACCTACAAGATAGAGTATAATATAATGAGTCTCTTGGTCCCTGCACCCCTGACTGTCCACGTACAATTTCCAAGAGTAGGCCCCAGGCCAAGGAACCCAGGAAAGTGAATTTGATAAAAGAATTCAAAGCCTATATAGGAATACCTCTCGTTAGCCTGGAGTCCCGTGGACTCATAGTGTTTTCCGATACGTAAGCAAGACGTAAAGCCCCTTCACTCACAACAGGACTTCCAGATAGCAGACATAACAAAACACGGATCTAGCTACAATCGTCCGAAGCAGGTGTTGTCCGGTTTGAGATGTCGGCAGCTATATTCGAGCCTGTTACCCATCCTGATTAGTACTCCAGTGGTAGGTTGCATCCCAACTTCTGACGTCCATGTAGGAGTAGGGGACACACATCATTCCTCCATAGAGTCCAAGTAGGTCTCCTTGCTCACAGTTGAATAGGTGGGTTAGCGGAAAACACCAATACGGTTCCCGTGAGGGATTTAGGGTATAGAAGGAAGGCCCTCCAAGAATGTTCCCAGAGGAGTGGAGGTAGTCCAACCATCTTATTCCAAGATTGTTAACGACCAGAGAAAGCAAGTCGATCGAGGACTCCGGTCTTCCCAAGCAAACCATGCGTACGGCGTAGCTGCAGACCGGGCTGTGGGCCCTCCCTAGTCTTTTCACCCAAGCACGGCAGTGCACATTACGAAGGCCTCAGGCTCTCATGACACCTTGACATGGTAAAGAACTGTTTGTGCAGTTCGTTTGCAACGGTCTGCATAACCTGATCGGAGTGCGATTGCTAGTCTGATTATACCGACACCTGCAATCTTGCAATAGCTGAGGCTCAACCCTTAGCCATACCATACATCCAAAGGAATGTTATAGAGCACCAACAAAAAGGAGCAATCCTGGGGCTGAACCCAAGCTGGTCAGCCAAACCGTCCCTATACTGTCCCATAAGGACTCCGGGACGTGTGCAAACAAGCGTGAAATCACTCCCAGTAATACCTCTGTGAGTCTTTCTTGCGCGGGATACAGTGGCCGGATCCAGTAGGATCATATAGGAGGTGAAAATAGAGGAATCCGGTCTAGACCTATATACCCTGCATGATCAGGTAGACCTCTAAAGCAAATTTGGTAGCACGGTCATAGATCTAGAAGAGGGGTTCTCTCCCCTTGCCCAGTTGTTATGGAGCATTGTAGGTACCATACCCCTGTACCAGAGCTGAATCATCAGCGGTGAACACATTATGTGGTACGCACCTCTATATTGGATTGAGGGTAGGAGGGACGCCCCTCTATGCAGACATCGTTGTCCTGTACCGGTATAAGCTTGTGTGATGAACAAATGGATTGCACTGTACTGCGTTGAGTGTATGAGAGAGAGCTGCACTCTCTAATAATGTATCTGAATTCCGTGTTGGCATCCGGCTGATATCACGAGTGGGCCGCACCCGTTAATACCTCCGTGTCCTTTTCCTTCTATGAGAGTGTGTCACACTCAGAGTATGTCCTCTGTATCCCTCTCAGTATCGGGCTGAAGTTGAAGGAGGGCCACGCCCTCTAATAATGAAGCAGTGTCCGGTTTATGAGAGGGGTTCGTTCTCTACTTGTGTAAATAAAGTATCGGTGTCAGGTCTAGTAATCCAAACTAGAGCCCATCTCAGACCCAGGGCGACCCTGCGGGATTCACCATCTAATAACAATAGCGTAGGACTTGGATCTCGAGGAGGGTCCCTCTCTGGCCACGAGACCTTTCTCTGAATCCCTCACCTGAGAGGTGAGATCCACTGGTAATAAACCAGACTGATGGTAGACGGAGGAGTATACCACCTCGGGCCGTGTCCATCTTAACTAATAAAAATGGGCAATGAGAGAAAGTAACCTTTGGAAACAATGACATAGACTACCAACGGACCGCCTGGATCCCGTGCGTGCGCGCGTGATCCAGGAATACTGTCAGCAGTCTGAGGAAAGCTGGAGACGTTCTCCGCAATCCACGAGGGCCCGGGAGGTCGGAGGAGGTCTTAAGTCAGACCCTTCGACGACCCGAGCGATATGAAAAAGGAAGGTAAGAAAAATAAAACAAAATAAAAGTAAATAAGGGTAAATACGTACCTCGGATAATGTAAATAGCAGGCCGGAAGAACCAGTCAAGAAAGTCCGACTGAACAGGACCAGGAGCTAACCTGATGCAGGAAAAACTAATAATATCTAAGATGGATACCGGAAGGCAGTAGAGGGTTAGTTGCTAAAGACAAGGGAAGACCGTGTCCCCCTGTTGGGGTCTGAGTACTGGTCCCTGTCTGACTGAAATTCTCCATGGGGCTGTGCCTCCGTCAGGCTGCTGTAAACCGTGGTTGCGTGCCCAGGTCTTCATAAAAACCTTGCCCTTCGGGCATGAGGTTTTAGGGCCTTCACCCTTCTCACCATACTCAGGTGGTCTTATACTGGCGTCCTCTTGGACAATATGACAGTTGTGCTTGCCTAGGCACCCACCTATCTCCATGTCAATAGTGGGTACTGGGTTTTCCTCAGTGATATTCCCCCAGGCCTGCAGCCAAAGGGGTTTCGGCACCGATGGATCAAGCCAACAAGGGAACTGATAGAGCAGGCCCATCAGAAGATCACAGGCCTAGCAGGCCAATCAAATGGGCACAGACATAGCGGGCCAATCGAAGGGCACAGACATAACGGGCCAATCAATGGGGCACAGACATAGCCGGCCAATCAATGGGGCACAGACATAGCAGGCCAATCAATGGGGCACAGACATAGCAGGCCAATCAATGGGGCACAGACATTGCAGGCCAATCAATGGGGCACAGACATAGCAGGCCCGTGATAGGGGCATAGACAGAGCCAATCGTACACATGTGTAGCGTTCCGACAGCCATAAGGCCCATCTGTGTGGGTAGAGCCCCTTATATATAAGTGCCATGAAATAAGAAAACTTGGGTAGAAACTTTAATATGCAAAACCCACAAGCAGTGTAGAATGTGTTCATAACAATATTTTACATAATACCTCTGGATTAAGTGCTATTATGTCTCCAGTCTAATATAACAGATGTATCAGCCGCTGGTGCTGAATATTCCATAACACTATACAGGGAACTGGCAGATCTGTAATGTTTAGTCAAAGACAGAGGTATCCAAACTGCAGGAACCTCAGAGCAGAACAGGGTGTACTGCCTATAATCTATCCTCCAGCCCAGCAAAGAAATGAATATATATATATATATATATATATATATATATATATATATAAATATAAAGTTATCCTGAGTTATATATTAACCCTGAGCAGGGTGGAGGGGCCCTCATATGTTGTAAAAAGGCTCTGGCCGTGATCTGAATCCGGCCGTGATACACAGAGGGGGAGAAAGCCCCTCAACAGACCTCCAACGAGAAGGTACACACGGGGAGGGGCCGCGAGCGGTCGCAACCCCCCCCCCCCGCGCGGTCCGCGGGCGGAGAAGGCCGCAGTGAAGCGGCCATGTGGGAAAAAAGATCCGGCCACCGGGTACTCGTGCTCGCTTGCGAGTACCCCCGTGGCCCAGAAAAAAACACATGGGACCGCCGGAGAAGAAGTCCGCGGTCCAGGAGCTCGGGGTCAGAAGGAGGCAGATGCCGTCAGCCTCCTGAAGCCCCCGAGCAGTACACACACCGCCAGACATAGGACAAAGGCGGAAAAGTATATATATATATATATATATATATATATACATATACATATATATATATATATATATATATATATATACATATACATATACACACACACACAAGGTGGGAAACCGACAGTGGGAACAAGCCCAAGGGGATAGAGGGGACAGAAGGACCCCAAACACCCCCCACAAATACAAAGCATAGATAAAAAAAAAAGTGATAGCCTGAATTAAAAGTAATAAAGAAAGTCCCACAGGGACTATAACAAAACTGTATGTGAAAGGAAAATTTCACAAGGGCAAACAAAAAATTCTGAATAAAATATTCAATATATAGGCATAAAATTCACACAAGGGTAAAATAAAATACTGAATATGAAAGAAAAATCCCACAAGGACAATATTAAATACTGATTATATATAGCAATAAAATCCCACAAGGGCAATCTAAAATACTGATTATATATAGCAATAAAATCCCACAAGGGCAATCTAAAATACTGAAAATATAGCAATAAAATCTCACAAGAACAATACAAACTACTGAGTATATAAGCAATAAAACCCAAAGCCACCCTCTAGAAGCAGGAGGCAGTGGTACTCTGACCTGTTCTGACTGCGGAGCAGCAAAGAAAGAGGAAATGATGCAATGGGAAGGGAGTTTTATAATACCTAACTTTTTTCTGATTGGTTATTTTCTGTGCTGCTGTGGAGTTCTAGTAAAGAGAGACTTAAGCAAATACGAAGCCTCCTGTCATGTTATAAAATTGAAGGATACAGGGGCCATATTTAAAGAGGGATTCTGGGAGGGGGAGGTATACTGCTTTTTAAAATTTTCTGATTAACATAATTTTGTTATTTGTTATTGTATTTTACTTTATATATATTTTTATTTGCTGCTACATTTGGAGGTCCCTGAGGAAGTCCCTTGGGACGGAAGATGTAGGATTACTCCTAGCAACTTATATATGCTTTATATTTTATTCATTTGGTCTTCAGTCATGAATTATTAGATTATTAAGGTACCATGACAAAATGAGGGGGTCATTCCTGCAGGGTCTGCTTAAGCAGGGCACATCATATAGTATCTGGGGGTTTGCCCCAGGTGATCTGTCTTATGTAACAGAGGACACCCACTATGGTAACAGAAACACTGTCTTCTCCAGGCATAATTCAGACATGTATTATAATTATATATGCAACTTATGCATTGCTGTAATATTCCATTCTGTGGCAGAACATACCAAGTGAAATATTGAGCATGAAGTACCTATACAAATGTAGAAGCTGGAATGGGCACAAAAAACATCAGTCTAGTAGTTAAACAAGATAAACCTAGAGGAGATTAGAATCCCAGTCCCTGATGTGAGGATAGTGCAGTACTGGTTGCTTTAGCCATAGCAATACTGCAGCTTCACCTGTGGCCAGATCACTTGAATACCGATCTGGACGCAAAATCATCCACAGATCCCCTCACAAAGCCCTAAAAGAGATACATAAATGAGCAGAAAGGAGGCAGTCGTGAGAGGGAGAGAGAGCCAGGACAGTTGCAGGCTCCAGCCTGAGAAGGGAATAGTATGGTTAGACAGAAATATAGTATGAAAAGCGATACATAGGAATAGCAGACAGTAGTGGGGAGTTAAATAAATAGAAATTTAAAGCAGATAATGCAATAAAACGGTGGCAATACAACATAAAACAAGCTAAATACAGAAAGAAGTCACAAGGGCAAAATACTCTGACCTGTGCAGCAGGAGCAGCAAAGAAAGAGGAAAAGCTGAGACTGGCAGGGCCAAATGGGATTCATCAGACCAGGCAACCTTTTTCTATGACTCCATGGTCTAGTTTTGATGCTCACATCCACGTTGAAGGTTCTTTTGGTGGTGGACAGGTGTCATCATGGGCACCCTGACGGCCTGTGGCTATGCAGCCCCATACGCAGCAAACTGTGTTCTGACAACTTTCTATCTTAGATAATGCATCTTGGACGTAAAAACCCAAGGGCAGAGTATAGAATATTTGATAGAGTCCTAAATGCAACATATGAGGAAAGGTATTTTGGGTTAATTATTTCAGATCACTTAAAGGTAGGCAGACAATGTAATAGAGCAGCAGGAAATGCTAGTAGAATGTTTGATTGTATAGGGAGAGGTATTAGCAGTAGAAAGAGTATTGTACGCAGTACTGGAGACAATATCTCCAAAAGGACATTGATACTTTGGAGAGAGTTCAGAGAAGGGCTAATAAACTGGTTCATGGAATACAGGATCTAACTTACAAGGAATGGTTAAATGAATTTAACATGTATAGCTTGGAGAAAAGAGACGGGGGATATGATAGAAACATTTAAATACATAAAGGGAATCAACACAGTAAAGGAGGAGACTATATTTAAAAGAAGGAGAACTACCACAACAAGAGGACCTAACCTTAAATTAGAGGGGCAAAGGTTTAAAAATAATATCAGAAAGTATTACTTTACTGAGAGGGTAGTGGATGCATGGAATAGCCTTCCAGTTGAAGTGGTAGAGTTTAACACAGTAAAGGAGTTTAAGCATGCGAGGGATAGGCATAAGGCTATCCTAGCTATAAGATAGGGCCAGGGACTAATGGAAAGTTTTTAGAAAATTGGGCAGACTAGATGGGCCGAATGGTTCTTATCTGCCGTCACATTCTACGTTTCTATGTTTCTAGCCATCCTGTGTGAATGGACTAGAGGGGTTAGTTTTCACTTCCCATGTGCATTATTGAGCCTTGGGCATGCATGACCCTGATGCAAGTTTACCGGTTCTTCTTCCTTGCACCAGATTTAGTAGGTACCAATCACTGCATACCGGGACCACGCCACAAGACTTGCCGTTTTGGAGATTCTTTGACCTAGTCATCTAGCCATCACTGAGATCTTTTCTCTTGCCCATTTGTCCTCTTTTCAACACATGAAATTCAAGAATTGAACATAT